AATCAGTGTATTGACCACAACGATTTTTGACATGTTACGCATACAAATTAGAGCAGACTGGTAACTGGCGGCAACTGGCCATTGGGCCCTTCTTTTCTGCTCTTCTTCCCTCTCTTTAAGCGAAAACGCAATCCCCAATAAAGAAGCCAACAAAAGGAGAACCCAAAGCAAAAAATCAGCAAACAGAAGCCCCACAAAAAGCGACTCGCTTTTGAGTGGGCAGTTGAGGCAGTTAAAGAAAGAATTATATATAAATAAAAAAAATACAAAAAAAAAATAAAGAGTACGGGCAAAAAAAGCTTGTAAGAAAGTGCTGAAAGGGGGAGAGATAGCTGGGGGAAAATATAAAAAATATACACCAAAGAGGCAACTTTTCAGAGCGAATATTAAATGCTCTTTAAGAGATAGAGGCTCTAATTTTTTTTTTAAAGTCTATACCCTATATACCCTATTCTATTTTCACCTCTTAAAAAATTATTCAAAAATATTGCAAGATTTTAAAATAAGCTTTAAAATGTTAGAATAAAATTCTAACAGTGCGTTTTTAGAATCAATACAAGTCACCATGTAACCCCTTGATAGCTTCCCCAAGAGTATCTACAATTAAAACCCAAAAAACGCCACCACCCACAGATCACCCATTTGATGAAGGAACTCGTCACGGCCAAAACTAAAATCATCAAGTATCCACAACACAATCCATGCTAATGATCCGAGCTTCTCTTGAAGACCGATTCCCCGATTCCCCGACTCCAATACCGATTCCAATTCCAGTAGCTGGACTCAATTAGGAGAAGGTAGTGAGTGAGTAGTGTGGGCGACGTTGAGGTGCGGCCCGCCAGGTGAGGCGTGACAGTAGCTACGGAGAGTTGGTCAAGAAATGCCATCACGTTGGCGACTGCCTGGCGATTTAATAGCGATTTTAAACGCGCCAAACGCATACGGAATGCAAAAAGTAAAAAAATATATAAATAAAAATAAAGAACAAACAAAAATTAATTATTCACAAGCTGTTGAGTCAGTAGCTGTTTTTTCTACGTCTTCCAGACACCTGAGTTTTTCTAACATTTGGAATGCAAACAAATAAAGGCATTTGTGTCATAAATAAAAAATGCAAAAAAAAACCAAAAAAATTAATATTTTCTCCGCAACTTCATCAAAGCAAAGACACAAATTGGCTTGGTGAGACTAACCAAAAAAACCATAAAAATCATTGACATTTTGTTGAAAAAAAGCTCTCAAAAAACACCAGCTGATCATTTTAGAAAAATATTTATTTTATGCCAATGCTGGCGAAAATTTTTCTGTAACCAAAACCAATGACGAGGTCACTCAGAGGTTTTAAAAAAAAAACGTGCTAACTTCGTCATCAGTCAGTCAGCAAATGTTATTGAATTTTTATTGTATTTCAACTCGCTATCTCTACCATTTCAGAATATAAGTGAGTGTCAGAGTGTGTGAGAAACATCATTTAAATGTTGAGGAATTCTTGTATCTTTTTTTGGGCTATGTATGGAAGTTGTTTAAACAGCTGCAAGTTTAAAATCCACCACCCACCTCCAAAAAAAAGGGGGGGTAGTGCAGTGCATAAACATGACTACAAATATGCGGAGCGAGAGATATAAATTCTGGGCAAGAGAGTTATAAATTCCATATGCCAAAGCATCAGATACTGCGTATACGGGTTGCAGTTTTTATGGTGAAGGGCGTTAGGCAAACACCAGGGGTTCGAAAATCATGGTTTCCCCAAAAAGAAACTATTGGAAAATGACTATAGAAAACTGTGAAAAGTTATTAGCTTTTGTATTTGGATGTAATATTGTCGATAACATAACTACAGCCTTTAGTTTGTAAATAAATTCCATAATAATGTCTATAAACTGTCTCAATTTTTGGTTTTAAGTTATTTTATTTAATTTTAAGCATATCAATATTTCCCCAACAGACCCCGAAACTCAAGCTAAATAAACCAATTTATTGTATCTAGTGTGCCACCCCTTTTTGCAGCGCCTCTGGCTGTCTCTTTATCCTTTATCGTTCCTCTGTGCAATCCAACTTTGATTTTCCAAATGCAAATTTTGGAATATATATCTACAATATATATATATCGCACTCTGGTGTCTTTGCTGCAGCTGTTGCCAACACCCTCTGCTTGCCACCAGCAGTATCCTGGCCTCGTCCTGGCTCTTTTGGGGAGCACACATTTTCGCACACGTCGGTGAATTTTGCACGTAAAAAATGTTTGAAACAAACAAAATATTTGTTTAATTTATTTTAATTTCAAAGTTGCAGCAGTTGCAGATACTTTTTTTGGTGGAAGAAGCACCGCAGGCGGCTCTACTGTGAGTGTGTTGGTCTGTATCTGTGTGGAAAAAGGATATGCCAGGCACCAAAAATAGCAAAAACAACAGAGACAATAACAACTCCGGAAAAGTGAGAAAAACTAAGCCACAATCATAATTCACGCGCTAAAAACACGAACACTAGAACCCAGAGAAGGGTGGAGATACAGAGAGAGAGAGGAGAAAGGAAAAATTCGGGGGAGAAAGGAGAGAAGAAGAAACAGTTTTAGGAGCCAGGCACTTGGAAAAGCCAGGAAATGAAATGAATGTGGAAAACTCAAAGGGAAACTGGCTGAAGGGCAGGTAGACGAGCGGCATAAATAAAACAAAGCTGCAAACGAATATAAAACCAAAGGCAAGAAAATAAACATAAAGACCCCGAAGAAAAACGCACACAAATTGTGACAGAGACAGGGACAGTCGTTTGTGCAACAAGTGCAAGGGAGACAGGTAATACAACCTTTCAAGTACCTCCTCAAGGCAATATCCTGCGTTTCTCCCGAAAAAAACTCACACATATACAGGATATTTCAGAAAAAAAACTCTGCCAAATTGGAAGGCACTTCAAGGATCAACAGGGGAAACTAAACATAAGGTCCTTTGGAAAATTAAGTAGTGTAATGAGACCAGACTCTTTAAAATGTAACTAATATGGCGGAGAGTACAGTTATCTATAAAAAAAAGATAAGATATAACTAAGGTTCTAACTAAGGCAGACTTTAAGGATTAACTGATCCCTAAAGAGATAAGATTTAATAATTTTTTTCCAAAACTAAATGATAGTAATGAGACCAGACTCTTTAAAATGAAACTAATATGGCGTAAAGTACTGTTATTTATTCAAATAATCTATAATAAAGTACAAACCAAGTCATTAACCTCAAAATTAATTCCTATTCCACCATAGTTTTCTAATTATTTCTTCAAAGCTGACCAGATCTCGCAAGACTTGCCAGTCCTATACTCCTTGCTAATCTTTTAATGTGTTTTTAATGCCATGTCGGGCCACCTATTCCCCTGGCCACTCTGTCATCAAATCTAATAATGCCCCACAGAGTTGAGCAATTCCCCACAGAAGCTTTAGGCCAAAAACTGAAAAAAAAAATAACAACAACCTCCACTGGAGAGTTCATTGATTTCTGATTCTTGGCGACTTTTGATTCTTTGTGCCGTTGACAGTTGGGGCTGGAAGACCCCGAGACCCAAACTTTTACGATTACGAGTAGTAATTTCTACAAGGCAAAGGCACGCGTGTCAAAGGCCCAATTAAGATGTCAAATCAACACGTTTTATTTATTAAATGATTACACACACAGCACCGAGAGCATAAACAGAAAACAGAGGGAAGCGCCATAAAGTTAATGGTGCAAGGGAAGAGATATATTCTATATTATATAGAGAGAGGGGTGAACCTAAACTAATCACTGACAAATTAATAAAAGTGTCGAGAGGTTGAAGGAGTGGCTCCCCTTTTCGAGTTGCTCCCTTGACCGATTTGCCCGATTGAGTGGATATAATTCACATTTAAATTTAACTTGACGAGGGGTTAAGTTCTCTTAAACAAGTATTATTAAGCAAGAATTCCCCAAGCAAAGTTATATAAAAATTAGGAGAAATAAAAGTTTCTTGAAGCGTGCCAAAGTTAAGTTTTGTTATATCACAGGTTCCCTCCTATTTAGTTTCTATTATTTTTGATATTTTTACTGGGGACAGGACAGTACGTAGTCTTTATTTGCAACTAGAAATTGGGGTATTAATAATCACAAATTAAGGGGGTTTTTGGAATTAAATACAAGAAAATTACATATAGTATATATTTTTTGAAGAACTTAAGATCTTAATAGTAATGGTTTTTGGAATAAAATAAAATAACTTAAGACCTTTGAAGTTCCTTAAATCCCCTTTAATTATCATACATTCCTCAAAGGACTTCCTCTAAGGATTATAATCATAATAAAATAAATAATCATAATTGAATCATAAAGCTCATCCATTTCTATATATTTATTAATATTTTATCTATTTATCTCTTTGCTTTATAACTCAGGAACCTTATACCTTATAACTACCTATAAGGAGGAAGGAAAGAACACAGTTTCCTCCAAGGACTCTTCCCTGTAGTTCAAGTTTTGTTTTAATATCCAGAACTCTGTCTAGAACAGTAAATGCCGCCAATTGACAGGAGCCAAAAGGATACCAGGAGGCTGGTGTGGCAAGGAGATAAAAAAAAACTTTATGATGACGTCAAGAAGCAACAACAAACAAAAAACAAAAAACTAAAGTGACGTTGCAAGGTGACAACAGCAAAGGCGACAGGGAAAGGTATCCCAAGATCTTCCTTCCAGAAAAGTGGGATTCTGGAGATTCTAGGGAGTTGGGGAAAAGTTTTAATTGATTTGTGAAGTCAAACGTCAGGTATGCTTATAAGCCAAAAGATAAGAAATGATTTAAGATTGAGAGACCTTAAGGTTGGCAAATAAAAATATGTATATATATAAATATATAAATTTAAGTATTTTTTTTAATGATTTCTAATGAAATTCCACCAAGGTTAAGGTTTATCATATACCCCAGACTATAGTCTTATCAGTGTTATTTTTATTTAAGAACCCGAACCCTAACCTTGGCTTATCGGAGGGGAAAACAACTGAAACTCACCTATCAGAAAAAAGTGCCAAATATTTAGCGCCGACTGTCTCCTGTTGCGGACTATCGCTATCTCTGTTGTTGCTCGGTGCCTCATTTTGTTGCAGGCTATTTGATGTGTGATTTTTCGTCCTTCGTCCTTGTTGCTGTTACTTCTTAGCTGTTTGGTTATTATCGCAGCTTCCGCTTTATTTTTTTTGTTGGTTTTTTGGCCAAAAAACTGCACTTGACGTTGTCTTTCGAGGAAAACTTTTAGCTATTATGTTGGCTCTTCTTTCTCCTTTTCCTTGTCAATGATGATAACGGTAGTTGGCACTCCACACACACACAGACACCAACCAGCTCCTCTAGCTGGTGGTGTTGTTGTGGATGCAACGCTCCATAGCGTTGGTTGGTATGTTTTTTTTTCTTATTTTTTTTAGCACCACATAAAATATTTATTTTTTTAAACACATGTGAGTTTTTCTTTTTAATTATGTGGAAAGCGAGGTTTTCCGGAAATAAGAAGAACGAACTGAAAATTTGTAGAGATTTTTGAGAATTAATGGGTATTCCAAAATGTAGTATTTTTTTAGTATTTTATTTAAGAGTTTTTTTTAACACATAAGTTCACTTTTAAGTATTTGTTTTTATTTTTTATATTTATTAATATTTTATTTTTAATATGTTTTCCAACATTGTTATTGGTCTCCTTCACAGTTATAATTGCATCTTGGTAGTTCTTGTTTTTGTTGTTGTTTTTTTTTTTGTAATTTTCAGAGTTGCAGCAACAACTTTGTTGTTGTTGTTTTTTGGAAAACAGGTAAGAAAAGCGCTTGAAAGGTTTCCAAGAAACTCGCACCAAGCCAGCACACACACACACACACACACAGACACGGCACACACCTTTTGTAGAAACCTGTTTGACAGGTAAAGGTGTGCAAGAGTAAATGAGATGGCGCGAGGGGCGATCGAGAGACCAAGAGATCGGAGGATCAGTTAAAAGAGAGAGAAATAGGTAGAGGGAGAGGGCGAGGGGAGCGAAAAAGACGCCAACTAATGAAGCCTGAACCGGCGCCGACGTCGACGTCGACCGATGACGCAGCTGCCACTTTTAAGATGCTGTTTTATTTTATTTCTCCATCTCTCTTTTTAGCTCCTTTTTCTTCAAGTATCAACTTTTCATTTTTTTTGTAGAAGATTTTTAAAGATTTCTTATCAAAACTTTGGTGTTTCTTATGGTTTTTTAAATCTTTTTAATTTTTTTAAATCCAGTTTAAACAGTGATTACCACACACACACACACACAAACACACCATAAAGAGGTTAAAAAAACACTTTATTTTATACCTTAATTTAAGTATTTATTTTGTTGTCAGATAATCCCAATATTTCTGCAATGATTTGTGGTATCTGTTTTTTGTTGTCACTCGCGAAAATGGGCGAAAATATAGCGAAAATCGACCGGAAAACGCGACGGCGACGCGCACTGCTCTTGGCTCGAAACAACGCTTGACAGTGCTCGCACTCGAATGTAGGGTATTTTGGACATTTCGGTCTGGCTACCCTGCCTCGAACGAACTCACCGAAGCCCATTTCGAAAAGAAAGAGAGAGTTTCGAACTCTGACTGTTATGCTGAGAATGTTTTACACTGAAAATACAATTTTTGAATATTTTTCTTTTTAAAAAGGTGTGAATTAAGTAAGTTATATGATTTTATAAAGGTCTAGAAAACAATAGAATTCTTCAAAAAATATGATATTTTAAAAGAAATTTGGTTACAAGAAAGACAAGTAATAGCTTAACAGTACATATATTAAAAGATAAGAAGACTTCCACTATTTGGTTCTACTATTAAATTTAAAGAGAAACTTTAAGAAAATAATAACATATTTTATAGCCTAATATTAGGCTATTTATTGTATTTAATATTAAGATAATTAAGCCTAAAATTCATAAAAATTTGTATAAATTTATTAAATGATTTTCATAAATTTATTATTATGTCAATGTTAAAAATTGAATTTTTTAATTATTTAAATCCCAACATAAAGATACTGTTATTTAAAATATATCCCAACATTTCCAATTCACAGAGCCACTTCACAACAGCTGTTAAATCCCTTAACAGAAGCACTACTCTCTTAAAAGGCTAACATTTTCGAACTCGGAGAGCGCCAGCGCAAGACCAGCAACATGTTGCGTTTTTGGAGCGTTTTTCGAAAACGCTAGCGTTTTGCGAGCGTTTCTCGGAAACTTGTTTTTGGACAAGAAAAACCAGTTGGCCAACAAAGTAACCAAAACCAGCAACAAGTTGTCAGTCAACACGATCAAGCAGTGCACTGAGTCGGGCCAGAAGAAGAAAGAGTCAGAGTGATGAGAGACAGAGGAGGGAGACAGAAGACATGCAACAAGTTTGAGCCAAGAAACTTCGTTAAGTTTAAGCCATATATACCCATCCCTCTCTTACCCCTTAAGACGCTGTTAACGATCTACTTTTAACCAGTTTTTCTGGGGGAGTTTGGAGCTGGGGTTATATACAAATAGTAGATAGTGGTGTTGTAGAGTCTTCAAGCTCTTGAGTTGGGTTTCCGATTCTTGGGTTCTCTTTTGGTTCGCGGTTTTTGTCGCCTGGGTTTCTGTTTGCTTAGGCTGCTGTTTCTTCGAGGGTACACACCTCCCCCCCTCTCTTTGCATCTACCTTTCCCCCCACTCTCCTGGCCGTCAGTTGTAACCTGTTTCTTCAAGAAACTTGTTCTTGCTTTGACAAAAAGCTCCTGGCTATGAAACTTTTCAGCATAAACCTTTATTTTTGTTTTGTATTCCTTGTTTTTTTTTTTACACGACCCAACCCAAAGTCTTTTCAACGAAACCTTTCTTAGTCTTTATTATGGTAACTATAGGATGTAGATTGGCAAGGCCCCACATCCATCATTGAGCCTTAAATACTCCTACATAATGATAACCTTAATTTTCTAAAGTATCTTGCCAGCAAAATGTACAAAAAATACTAAAATATGTATTTTTCTACTATTTTGTTATGCAGATTTATAAAGAAATGATCTACAAATCACCTAAGATATTCCATTTGAGAATACGAAATATCATTTTCAAGATAGAGCCCTTGCGAGGAGTCAACTATCATAATCTCGCTCCTCCTGATGTTGGAAAGGAGGAAAAAAAAATATTCCACCAGGATTTTGATACAAATTGGTAGTCAATAGAAATACAAACTGATTGAGGTATCCTTTTCAAGGATCGAATGGAAATTGACCAAGATATGGCCTTCGCGGTGGGCCATATTGGCCTTCCATGGATTTTCCAACATTTTTGAAGGGGAGCCTTCACAAAATTTGAGAAAAAAGTGAAAAAATAATTTGTTTCCAGGTTTTGATGCAGATTTATGGAGAATCGATCTAGAAATCGTTTAAGGTATTCCTCATAAGGATCAGATGGAAATTGACCAAGATATCGCCTTCGCGGAGGGCCATATTGGCCTTCCATGGATTTTTAAACATTTTTGAAGGGGAGCCTTCACAAAATTTGAGAAAAAAGTGAAAAAATAATTTGTTTCCAGGTTTTGATGCAGATTTATGGAGAATCGATCTAGAAATCGTTTAAGGTATTCCTCATAAGGATCAGATGGAAATTGACCAAGATATGGCCTTCACGGCGGGCCATATTGGCCTTCCATGGATTTTCCAACATTTTTGAAGGGGAGCCTTCACAAAATTTGAGAAAAAAGTGAAAAAATAATTTGTTTCCAGGTTTTGATGCAGATTTATGGAGAATCGATCTAGAAATCGTTTAAGGTATTCCTCATAAGGATCAGATGGAAATTGACCAAGATATAGCCTTCGCGGAGGGCCATATTGGCCTTCCATGGATTTTTAAACATTTTTGAAGGGGAGCCTTCACAAAATTTGAGAAAAAAGTGAAAAAATAATTTGTTTCCAGGTTTTGATGCAGATTTGTGGAGAATCGATCTAGAAATCGTTTAAGGTATTCCTCTATAGGATCGGATGGAAATTGGCCAAGATATGGCCTTCACGGTGAGCCATATTGGCCTCCAATGCATTTTTCATAATTTTTGAAGGGGAGCCTTCAAAAAATTTGAGAAAAAAGTGGAAAAAATAATTTGTTTCCAGGTTTTGATGCAGATTTGTGGAGAATCGATCTAAAAATCGTTTAAGGTATTCCTCATAAGGATCAGATGGAAATTGACCAAGATATTTCCTTCGCGGTGGGCCATATTGGCCTCCAATGCATTTTTCACCATTTTTGAAGGGGAGCCTTCACAAAATTTGAGAAAAAAGTGAAAAAATAATTTGTTTCCAGGTTTTGATGCAGATTTGTGGAGAATCGATCTAGAAATCGTTTAAGGTATTCCTCTATAGGATCGGATAGAAATTGGCCAAGATATGGCCTTCACGGTGAGCCATATTGGCCTCCAATGCATTTTTCACCATTTTTGAAGGGGAGCCTTCACAAAATTTAAGAAAAAAGTGAAAAAATAATTTGTTTCCAGGTTTTGAAGCAGATTTATGGAGAATCGATCTAGAAATCGTTTAAGGTATTCCTCATAAGGATCAGATGGAAATTGACCAAGATATGGCATTCGCGTTGGGCCATATTGGCCTCCAATGCATTTTTCACCATTTTTGAAGGGGAGCCTTCACAAAATTTGAGAAAAAAGCGAAAAAATAATTTGTTTCCAGGTTTTGATGCAGATTTGTGGAGAATCGATCTAGAAATCGTTTAAGGTATTTCTCATAAGGATCAGATGGAAATTGACCAAGATACAGCTTTCGCGGTGGGCCATATTGGCCTAAGGTATGTGGCTCCATATATTTCTATATATTTGCAAATTTTGTTAGTGCCTCTTTAAAAAAACTTTCTCTCATCTTCATTCTTAAGTGTCCCTGTACTTTGAGCTCAATAACACAAAGAACCAAATAATAGTTTAAGAATTCAAGAAACTTTCTTAATTCTAATAAGCAGAAATAACATGAATCAAACTTTCAATCATCGAGAAGCAATGGTCTGGGTTATTAGAAGCAACTTCATTTGTATTTTGTGCATTTTTTAGTTTCCCATTGACGCGCTTTGCATAATAAATTCATAAATTTCCAGGCAGCCCAAGAATGGTAAATAATTTTAAAACAGATTTTCTGCTCATTCTACAGCATTTTCTTGTTCTTTCAGTTCGGGCTCCTCAATGTTTATTGAATTTTTGATTTGGGCCCGGAGGCGTTGTCGCCGTTTTCAGTCCCCCATAACCACTGTCTATATAATAAAACTCCGGACATGTCCCGCTACTAAAGGCGCATACAAATGACCTCTGGGAGGTGCTCCCCCGGACCCTGTGCCCTCAGGTGAAAATTCTTGCCAGACACACCAGACCCGTCCTCCTCCGCAACTTGTAAGTAATTCTGCCGACTACGAAATACACGCAAAATCCAGCTTAATTATCTTTATCCCGTGGTTATTGTTGCTGCTAGCTGCTGTGGCCGGGTCTTTTATAATTG